AAGCAAACTCTGTTTAATATAACAGTTCAGGCTCCTAAACTGTGGACATTTTATTAAATAATAATAATAAAAATTAAAATTATGAACAGGTGGCCAGTTCTGACTCCAGCTTGTTCCTGACACAAAATGTAGCAATAAGATCATGGCATGCACAGCAATAATGCCAATAATCCTGAGCTCAACCTGTGTTGGCTTTCTACACACACTAAAACTCACCTGTTTCTAATTGTTATAAATGCTCTGTGTCTTCATGTGTGTATATATATGTGTAGGTCCAGGGCATTTCCCTTTTGTTCAGGGGAAGTTTTATGAGATGAGATCCTTTCCCAGAAATTTGTCAGCACAGCTGGAAACCGTATGAGAGACTCTCCTCCACCCCAGACTAATTCTATGCAGTTTGCCAACTCTGTCTCCTGTTTTTTCCCCTCCCTTTTTGTCTCCCCCACTTGTGGTTGAATCATAACAGAACAAGAAAAAACAAAAAAACAAAATTTAAAGCGTACAAACAGACAAAAGAAAAAAATGCCCCAAAATAAAGAACTGGAATTATCCAGTTTCTTTTAAAGGGTTGATTAGGAATAGATGAGCAATTGCAACAGTTTCACTGAAAAAGAGAAGAGAAGAGGTCCCAGGGTTCAAAACAGAACATAGGCATGAACCTCAGTGAAAGAGGAACAAATATCCAGGTGGGTGTCCTTGTGTACCGTATTTTTCTCTGTATAAGACGCCCCCATGAATAAGACATCCCTCCACTTTTCTAACCCCAAATTAAGAAATGTAAGTGGGGCTTCACAAGTGTAGGGGAAAAGGGATCAAAGCACTGCAGGATCGCTTTGATCCCTGCTTTCCCCTCCACTTGTGTTTGTTCTCTCCTCAGCTTACTTCCGTGTATAAGATGACCCTCAATTTTTAGTCTAAAGATTTTACACAAAAGTATAGTCTTATACACAGAAAAATATGGTAATTGCCCAATATATGCCACCCATTCAAACACTGAAAGAGTCATAAGGTCCTCAGTCCATTGATTAATGAAAGGTGGGAATTTATCCTGGCAGTATTATGGCATTATTGGTGCATGAGAGTGCAGCAATGAACTTGTTCTGGTACAGGAAATCAATGTTCTATAAGGCAATTCTAAAAATGGGGACATTATAACTTTTAAACAAGGTTTCAGATGTTGGCCCATTTGTAGCAGATAGTCTGTTCTTGCTCCATTCCAAATTTGGGAAGTTGTAGACAAAGGAGTTTTTAAGTTAGGATTTTTTTTTTAAAGTAAAACTGTTAAGAAACAGGAGAAACCCCAAATGTCCTCAGATTGGTATCTGTGGTATCTATAAGGCTCTCGTTCAACACAACATTTCAAATGAGTTGCTTTTTGTCCCTGTCTTCACTGTCCTTCTTTCGCATAGTATGCATGATTTGAACTTACGACAAAGATTTCTAGTGACAATCTTTACTAAGTTAGAAGCCTCAATTTTTTTTTAATTTCAAAGGTGAGGGGACATATTTTGGAAAACGTGCACATAGCATGTTCTTAGAACTTTTAGTTCTATATAGCTTTTCTTCCTCAGGCTGCTATCCCAAGGAAAAGATTTGGAAATTGGATGATAATTTTGTAGTCTGTATTCTGAGTAAACATGACAACATTAGTTTACTGGAGAGGGTAAAGGGTGTGTACGTTTCTCTGTTGTATGTTTTGCACCTACTCATACCTTTGCTTTACCATTTAATTAAGTTGAAAAACAAAACAAACACCAGCCCTTCAAAGTATTTTGGCACAGAGGGACTACAGCCGCATCCCCACAGTTCTTACTTCTCTCCTCCCTCAGCAACCATAGAACAGATCATGTGCTCTGGGATTCTTGGTAATTCTACATGAGGGAAGTTTCTGTTGAAATTTGTGTGTAGTTTTAAAAAGCCAGGAAATGCAATTTTTCAAAATAATAATAATAATAATAATAATAATAATAATAATAATAATAATAATAATAATAATAANNNATCAGCATCAGCATCAGCATCAGCATCATGGGACATTGTGCTTCTGTGTATACAAAATGCCAGGAAATGGCTCACTCTTGCTGCACAATATTGTGCCCGCAGGAAAAAGGATGCCAGGCTTTACATAGCAAAGGGGAGCCTGAATGTTGAGAACACCAGCATCAGCAGTCAAGATGGTCAACGGTGTGCCCTTGTCTACCCACTGTCATTCAAATTTTGTTGAAAAGCAGCCATGACCATTGCTTTGTGAGAAATAGTTAACTGAGGAAAAAAGGGGTCAGCTTCTAGGATTATCCCTGGCTTGGTGTCTCTTTGTGAATGGTACTGAGCACAATTACTGACTTTTGACCAATACAGTGGTGCCCCGCATAGCGATGTTAATCCGTTCTGGATTAATCGGCGCTATCCGGAAACATCGCAATGCGGGGGGGGAACCCCATAGAAACGCATTAAACTTCGTTTAATGTGTTCCTATGGGGCGAAAACTCACCGTTATGCGAAGATCCTCCATAGTGCCGCCATTTTCGCCGCCTCGGTAAGCGAGGAAATCGTCCGAAAATGGTTGCGGTGGCCATTTTGGACACCCGGTGGCCATTTTGGAACTGCTAATCAGCTGTTCTGCAAACATCGCAATGCGAAGATCGGTAAGCGTTTCACTTACCGATCATCGCAATGCGATGTTTAGGCTATTAAAACATCGCAATGCGATCGCATTAGCGATCCCAAAAAATAGATCGCTATGCGGATTCGCCATTAAACGGTGCGCTCGTTATGCGAGGCACCACTGTACTTTATATGTGCTTGTGGGTCCATAGCAGATAACCTCAGTAGGTATGAAAATTAGTAGCATTACTGACTGTGCACACAAATTATTTGTACATTGCTAAATGTTATTGGTTAGAGTAAGAAGGAAAGGGGACTATTAAAAAATGTAGGTGACTAATCTGATGTGTGTTGATCAACTTTGCATACATTTACATGTTTATAACAGATTGGTAAGGATTACATAGGCAAGATACTCTCTTAGAAGAGACATTCCCACCTGTGTATGAAAGAGGTGAAAGAGGAGATTCTTCTTCTCAGATGGGACCCATGCCTTTTTTTAAAAATATATAGGAATTTTGTTTGAACACCCTCTACCCCAAAGTTTGAAATGTTACATTTTTTTAAAAAAAAAACTTCTGTTACTCATAACTTCTCAGCAGCCTAGATCTTGTCAACATTATTTCAATTTTGTTTGAACACCCTCTACGCCAAAGTTTGAAATGTTACATTTTGAAACTCATAACTTCTCAGCAGCCTAGGTGTTGTCAACATTATTTGTGCTCTGATTGCCAAAGCTATTTGTTGTGTTATGCTGTTACTACTGCATTGTATTGTTGTCACAAATGGACCTGGAAAAAACAACAGATAAATACTCTCCCATTCCCTCTAGTGCCCAATCCTGATACTGTACCTTGGATATTTTAGAGTCAGATAAGGGTGTATGTTATATCCCGATCTTGTTCAATCTGTATGCAGAACATATCATTTGGAAATCTGGATCAGATCCAGATGAAATAAGGTGAAAATTGGTGGCAGAAACAGCAACAATTTATAAAATGCAGATGGCACCATATTTCTGGCAGAAAGCAACAGTGCCATGAAATGACTCCTGATGAGGGTGAAATAAGAAAGTGTAAAAGCAGGAATGCAGTTGAACAGTAAGAAGACAAAAAAAAATAATGACTACAGAAAAACTACATAGTTTTAATGTTGACAAAGAAGAACTTGAAATTGTTAAAGATTTTCATAAATTCAAATGGAGACTGTAGACAGAAGAAGACTGAGATTTGGAAGGGCAACAATGAAGGAAGTAGAAAAGATCCCCAAATATAAGGATGTGTCTCTGAACACCAAGCCCAATATCGGGCAACAATGAAGGAACTAGAAAAGATCCCCAAATATAAAGATGTGTCTCTGAACACCAAGCCCAATAACATCCATATAATTGTATTCCTGGTTGCTATGCATGGATATGAAACTGCGCAGTGAATAAAACAAAATTAGTTGAAAAGTGGTACTGGAGGAGAGCTTTGTAGATATTGTGGACCATCAGAAACGCACACATGTGTCCAAGATTTTTTTTTTAAGCCTGTACTGTCTCCAGAAGCAAAATTTACAAAACCAAAAACTGTCATAGCTTGGATGTATCATGAGACGACAAGACTCACAGGAAAAGGCAATAATGCTAGGCAAAGATGAAAGCAGGAGGAAAACTGGAACACCAAGTATGATATATACTGATTGACTCCTTAAAGGAACTCACAGCCTTGAGTCTTCAAGAGATGAGCAGGGCAGTTAATGTCAGGACATTTTGAAGGTCACTCATTCATAGGGTTGTTGTAAGATGGAGGTGACTTGACAGCACAAGAGCACCACCTTGGAGAATAATTATAAAAATATAAAATGAAAACCAGCAAATAATACTTCCTTTGCCATTTTGGTTTGAGCAGGCAATGGCATAAAATCTGAAAAATCCCAGTGAAAAAGCCTCTAAGAATGACTCAAAAGTGGCTTTTGAAATGAATTAGCTGTTACCTATGATACCTAGAAATTTGGTAGTTACTGCACAAATTTATCTTTACTCTCCAAAAGTAGCTTGCTACAGGTAATTAATTAGCTATAAGTTATAGGAACTCGTTACTTCCAAGCCTTGACAAAAGTCAAAATAAAGCTGTTGCCTGATTAACTGGAGGAACGTCCACAATCATCCACAGCCTTTTGGATCAGTTTATTCAACTATTGATCCGACCATCACTGTAGTCTTTACGAAGAAACAGTTTCTGATGTTTCTGTCCTGATGTAGCCAGAAGGACACACTCTGTGCACAAATGGCAGACATGACCCAAGTTGTAGGAAACCAGGAGTGGGCAAGGACGCAGAAAGATATGGCTAGTTTGACGTCCATGGCTGCTGTGAGTTAATATGCTTCCCTCTTTTCTTGCCTGTGTTTCTAGCAAGGAATACCCAGTGGTCCCCAGGAGTACCGTCAGGCAGAAAGTGGCCTCCAACCACAGCCCTTTCTCTGGGGAAGCCCGGGCTTTGTCCACCTCTTCTAACCTTGGATCTCAGTTCCAATGTGAGAATGGCGTCTCCAGCACCTCCCAGGACTTGCTACCATCGGCCAGCCCCTACCCCGTGACCCAGGATCATGGCCAGATCTACCACTGCACCAAGAGAAAAGGTCAGGCATATTGGGCTCAGCTGCTTCTTCTTCTCCCCCACCCTTCCTCTGTAGCACATGGAGCAAAGCTTTGAAACCGTTTGTTCATCCAATTTGTTAACTGTTTTAAGAAGCGTTTTAAAGTAATTCCTTAAATTCTGGAAGAGCAGAATTGCAATAACAAGTTGCCAGGGACATTTGATGGTTCACAATTATTTTTATTCATTACGTTGGCTATTTCTAGTAATCAGATTTCTTTTAGTTTGAAACTGGTATGTTACTCATATAACAATAATTAATAAATGTGTGGATGCAAAGCTGGAAATTTAAGAAGCAGTCCATCTCACCATAGCAGGAAAAGGCTGTGATCAGGAAGAATTTAGAATCTGTTGGGGGGCAGATTCAGTTCGTTTTTTTTAATTGAGGAGAAGAATTTCTCCTACAGTTTAGCAGGAATGGGGTTCACCACCATTAGCAAATTGTGTTTTTTTCCCCACTGCCAGAAGTGGCTGCAGGACCAGCAGCCCTTAGGCATCCATCACAAGCCTCCAGAACAATCCTCATTCTGGAACAATGTGAAAGAAACCAGCCCAAAATGGTGAGGAGTGTTTTGGTAATATTCTGTGTACTAGCTTACATTTTAGAGCAAATTGAAGGGGAGCAAGTCAGCAATTTTCTTGAATGTCCTAAAGTAAACAAGAGAGAGAATTTAACTTCTCAGTAGAATTCAAATGCTCGCCCTATTCCCCACCCTATTCCTCTTGTGCTTTGTTTTCTAAGTGAGGTCTACTTTGTTTCCCAGTTACTGTATTTCCTTGGCACCATTATTTCGGATCTCCAGAAGGCCTTCCAGCAGATGGGGTTTTCTGTATCAGCCACAATGCCAGCCATTTCACTATACATTACAAAGGCCAGCAGAGATGAAACCCAGAGGAGTGGCTACATAGCTCTGTGGAAGCTGAATCCACAACCCGAAAGATAACTGGTGCCTGAGGTAAAGATAACTTATCAGGCTGGGAGGCCTCCGAAAAGGATTCAGGATTAATTCCAATACTTAAATAGCTAATGCAAGTTATTTGGAGGGGTGAAAGAGGACTACTAGACTCCTTAAACCATTTGGGAAAGTGAACTGGGCAAAGCCTGAGTTGTTGGGTGAAAGTTTTATCTGCATTTTGAAATGCCGTGACCTCCCTCCCTGCCCTCCATCCCCCCATGTACATCCCTTTCCTGGGTCAAAAATTAAACTTGATTTGGATGGATTAACGCTTGTTTTCTTGACAATCTATAGTTTCCTGGGTCAAAAATTAAACTTGATTTGAATGGATTAAGGCTTGTTTTCTTGACAATCTAAACCTGAAACATTAAAAGCCACCAGTAAGTAAATGACTTTATTGCAACAGAACAAAATGCCACAAAATCAGGTTTTCCTGTTCCCCTGAATTTTACGTGGTACCAAAAAAAAGGGGGTATGCAGACTAAAGTGCAAAGTGCAGAAATGGGTGCCGACACTGTGGCTGTGAGATTTCTTTTAACCCTTTCCTTTTCCTTTTTTAACCATTTGGCCTCATGTTCTGGGTTCTGTAGGACTTGACCACTTTTATTTAGAATCATAGGACACAGGGGCTGGAAGGGTCTGCAGGATCATCACGTCTAGCTACCACCAAAGCAGGGAATCCTCACCTAAAACATCCCTGACATCTTTAGGGATGTGCCTTGGCCCCTTGACCCTATGCCCAAACAAGTGCCGGACTTGTGTTGTGGCCTTTTGGAGAGACAGCGACCTGCTTTTTGTCCAGGTCGATGCCAGTATTTCTGTGTTTCCAGCTCGCTGGGGACAAGCCATGCCTGTTGAAGAAGGGCAAAACACCAAGGCACAGGGCAAAAGGGCTCTGGAAGAGCTGGATGCCTGGATTTATTTTCATTTTTCAACTCACCTGCAGAAAGACTCCCTTTGCTTCCTAAAACAGTCAGCAGGAAGGGAGTGAAGGAAGCATTTTTAAATGGCAGTTAACTGGATCCTCTTGGATTGTTCCTTAAAGGGGCAACACGAGGTGTCTGTAGACGCTGTCATTTATCTCTCCACCTCATCCTTTCTCTTCTCTGGTTCTGAAACCAGTGATATGTTGCCGCAGTGTAATCTCTGGTTAATTATTTAATCAATGACTTAACAGCAGGAAAGGGAAGGAAGGTTCGTAACTAAGACATAAAGCGTACCCTTCTTCTCCTTTGTCACCAATTCAGCCAATTCCTGGATTTTTCTTTCTCTTTCCCCACTTTTAATCCCAGTGCATGAATGCCAGATCACATGAGGATATCTGTGTCTATGCCGCTTCTCCACATGACTACCTTTGCGCTCTCTGTTGTACTCTGTGGTCATGCAAGAAACACACAAATATTTTGATTTGGTTTATTTTTACACATCTGTCCAATGACAGTGCAACTCCTATTTTTATACTGTTTTCTGCTGAACTGTTGATTGTAGGGTTCTCTCTCTCACACACACATACACACACCCCAGACTAATGCACTATCTTTGCATTTCTGAATTTTAAGTTCACTGACTATTAGTTCAAGGCAATGAAGTGACGTGTATATCTGATAAACACCATCACTGCTGCTGCTGCTGTCCCTTCTCTTGCACCTCCTCTTCTGAAAGCCATAAATCTGTCACTGCTAATGATGGACTTACTTTTAAAAGGAAGAGAATGATTGGAGTAACTATTTCCTGATAATATCTCAGAAAAAGTGGTTTTGAATGATCACAGTGCTTTGTGTACATTATATTGGAATTCTTGCAACACTCTTGTAAGATAGGGCCATCTTCTTATCCCTCTCTTGCAAAAGGGGGTTTCTAAGACTGGGAGACTCTAGCTGACATACAGTGGACCCTCGACTTACAGACGGCTTGACTTACAGACTTTTCGAGTTACAGACTCCTCTGGCCACAAAATTTAGGTTCGACTTGCAGCCAGAGAATCGAATCGACCTACAGACCAGGAAAAAAAATGGAACAAAAACAGCCAGTTACTGGATTAATCGGGTTGCAATGCATTGTAGGTCAATGGAGACTCGACCTACAGACTTCTTGACCTGCAGCCACCGTTCCAATACGGATTAATTCCGTAAGTAGAGGGTCCACTGTAGCTGTGGCAGAGGCAAGCTCCAGATCTGCCATTCCGCAGCCTATGTGCCACAGCCAGGTGGCCCAAAAGCTGCTAGGCTAGACAGAACAATGCTCTGATTTCCTGTATTCCTAGGGTAATCCAAGTCTGCATTGCCAAAACTTAGACAAGCAGAAGACCTTCAAGTGGGCACCCTGTTAAATATGGTCTGTTGTTTCTCAGAGGCAACTGCTGGCAATGTTGTGGCATTTATTTATTGAAAAATATTTTCAGCCCACTTTTCTTCTTAAAAAGAATGCAAGGGGAGCGATGCTCCCCTTAAGGCTGCCCTGTTTTGTTCTGCTTTTCCCCATCCTCTCAAGAATCAACCAGTGATCCTCCTCTTCCCCTCTTCTCTCTTTCA